CCAACACAAGCAATACTAACCAAAACAATCCACAAAACACGCCGGCAGGCCGGCGGATTGTACTTTCTTCTTGCTCCAGCTCTACGATGGAAGAGAGTTCTTCAGCTCTTCCGAGGAATCCTCACTTGAAGTCACGGATCTCAGGCGCTTCCCTGTTTGCGATGAGAACTTGGAACCCAAGCTGGAGCCCAGACCACCAGAAGATGTGCGAAGCTCAGTTAGGGAAGAGCAGATAACCAAACGGTTCAATGAGCTGCGTCGGGCAGGAGCTTCCAGGGGTTGGACTTGAGTGGTGTGTCTCCTTCGCACACCACAAACGCCCATAGATGCTGGGGCTGTGACGCTCAAAGCATGCAGCAGCTGACCATTAGTGGCTGAAGGATGCATGGCTGAAGGCTTGAGGCCTGCTTTCAGTCCTTGGTGGACGACAAGAGTATGTAAAGAGCCTTTCCTGCTTGGGATGAATGATTTGGAACCACTGGTGAGCCTGGCTGAATGACTTTAGCAGTTAACATCTTTCGTTGACACTGCTGGACCCCTCGGGGGACAGAGAAAAAAGGCATATCACGTGTTTGCAACAGCACGGCCGGTTTATCGCCGTACGAGATGTCTTCCGTACGCCGGTGCACCGACGCGCCGGTGAAGAGGCGCGTTTCCTGCACGGGATCCTGGAGGGCATGGCGCACATTGAGGTGAGGACGGATGGCGGAGACGGGGTCGCTCCTTTTTGGGGGTCGCGAGTCGCAATGCATCGTCTACTTGAGCCTATATTGTCGTGTTCATACGGTTCACTGGTGTTTCAGCGTTTGTGAATCACATGGCCATTGATTTTAGATGTGACGTCTTCAAGGACTCACAGACTCACAGTAAATCAGTTGTTTTTTAGAGACAATTATACATGTTTAGTAAACTTAGTAAACATTACACCCAGGTATGGCTCGGACACTGAGGCCCAGGTTCCATACGTTTGAGCCATTTTTCCATTCCAACGTTTTGTTGGCGGCTACTGTGACTGTGTGACTAGATATTTTTGACCAGTATCGGTATGATGCTCTTGTACTGTTGAACATTACAGTGCTCAGATTCGGTGGAGGATATCATAATCCCTAGGGATCCAAGTGCCTTCTCAGAAGGTACTTGGACCCTCCAAACCTACATAGCAGTGTCTCCAATCACCTTCTGACAAGGTACTTGGATGCCTATAGGGAATGCCTTTTCCCGGAAAAAATAGTTCCAAATGCTCCGGTGCCGCGACATGATCGGCACCGGAGGCCACTGGCTACCAGAAGCTTGGTGAGCTGGGTGCTTCACCACTGAGACGAGCCGCTCGGGCCACCGGCGGCCATGACTTGGGCGCGGACGTTGGTGAGGGATGGTACCTGCCACCAAAATGGCTTCAAGTGCTTCAGGTTTTGGACCTTGTGGAGCACTTTGTGGATGTTTCTGAGGGTTGAAGCTCGCTGGTTCCGCGTGAGGCCATGACCATACAGACCTTTCATGACTTTCAAGAAGCCGCTGCGGTTCACGATGTTCTATGCGAACGCACTGAGTAAGAGCCGCGTTGCGGCCTTGCAGCGATCAGTTTTTGCAATGCGAACGCCAACGTGCAACTCACTTTCATGCGTACCAGAGCTGCAACCAACTCACTAGTAGGTGCAGAGTGTACTGTATGTTTCTTTACTGTAACAGTTTTTATTATATGTTTACATGCTGGGATATTGTATATATACATTTCTCAACTGCTCAGCTCTTGGACAACTTTCCAGTGCAGGGGCAAATTCCAAGCAGCGGCATTCTTAGACCAATGACGGGGTGAAAGTTCTCAAAGTTCGACCCATCCCTGGACCCATTTCGACAGAGTCTCGAGCCATCTCGGCCCTTTTGCACCTTTCGCTTAGGTCGTCACTGCTGGAGGTGGAGCCAAAAACCCCACCTGGCGCCTCAGCTGCGTGGAAGGGGGATATATCCAAGCTGCGGAGATATTGGAAGAGATTGAAAGATGTTGAGTGGAACATTGATATTGGAAGATATTGGAAGATAGTGGATATGGATCTTCCAATATCATCCAACTTCATCAATGTCGACGTCGGATTAATCAACAGACCCTGCCCCCTTCAAGGTCAACAGGATCAACAAGGTTTCAGATTGGAGGTATTGGAGGACCACATCCCCCTAATAAAGATGATCACCTGATGATTGATGATGAGAAAGTAAATAAAACAGAACTATATATAACTATTATAGTAAACATTATACAGTAAACTTCAAAATAAAACAGTATAAAACTAGGGCAGCTGGGCTTGATTAGTAGGGGGAGGTTTGTGGTCAGGAAACGACATATTAGGGGGATCTCAAGGTGGAAATTCAGGTTAAATAGTTGATTAGTTTAGGGGGCTCGAGCTGGGCTTGATTAATTAGGGGAGGTTACTTAATCATAGGTTGACATTATGCAGAAGTTCTGCACCTGTTCATCTATAAAACCGGCCCAAAGGCAGACATGTTGCACAGTTGGAAGGTCCACGTACTGTATATACAGACAGCTTGAAGATTGCAGGGAACGGCAGGGTAGTCTTCAATTCACTCTGCAAAACTCAGATGTGCTGGGCAATCAATTCTACGAGGTGTTGGTGTAATTATGTTTTTGTTTTATACACGTTGTTGTTTCAACTCATTTCACAAACCTTTGGCACATATACATGGTAAGCACCTAGTGGGGAAGCACAGGCTGAAATGTTGAGATGACGAAAACACAATGTGTCCCAAAAACACAATGTTGAAATGACATGGGTGCCCGAAAACTCCTGAAACTTCCCGAGTTTGGCAGCTCCACTTTATGAGTTGGCTGCGAGAGCTCTTGTTTGGTTCCAGTTCCAGGGTTTATGATAAGTTTCAGCCAGAAGAAGTAACATAGAGGAATATATTTGATAATATTTCGAATATGCTGGATTTCTATGAGTATATACTGGTAGTTGTGAAAGGGAAGTAGAAGCCTCCGTCCCTCTGGCGCTGGACGCCCCAGGCGCCGAATCCGTGAACGCCTGATTGGAGTGCCGGTGGGGTTGCCTGTGACATGTGAGGTATTTCATTGTGCCTAGCAGAGGGAGAGTGGGGGAGAGTCTGAGGAAGGAACAAGATATTATATAATATATATATTTATTATTATATATTTATGTAATCCCGGTCAAGTACTTCGTTGTATACATTTTGTCTCGTGAACCCAAAGTGAATGATTCTTGTTTAATCATGACCATGACCACACACAACAGTGAATGATTCTTGTTCAATCATGACCATGACGGAATTTCCGATACTTGACCAGAAACTAAAGGTTGCAATTACTTGCTGTAGTATACTATATATGCCTTTTTCTGCATAATTTACTCACACAAGAGGTCCTAGAAGAGGTGTACAGACGTGTCATTTTGTGTTTTGCCCCTCGGAGACGACGAGCTGGACATATGTGTTTTTTTTGTCAACGTCCGACGTGTGCCAAAAGACTTATGAACAATCAGATATGCAGCGAGCCGGCAGTATATAAAGGATTTGAAACAGCACACCCCACCACTAGCAGCTAACACATGAAGATCTACATGCAGGAAGTATGCTACAGTATCATGATATATTATCCATGCAAACCGTCACCTTCAATGTTATTGGCAGGTCGAGAGTGCAACATGGACGGAAGCCTGTTGTGGCACAGCGCTTCTTGCACTGCAAGGCCCAACTCAACTTGTAAGAGCACGTCTTGCACATTCTTGCCCTGTATGCTACTGCAAGGCCCAACTCATGTTGCTTGAGTTGACGCAGCAATCCGTAGACTCCGTAGACTCCAGGTTTGTTGCAAAGGATGTGCCGAAGACTCTGGGGCCGCCGTCCAGGCCCTTAGCCCCTTTAATTGACGAATTTGCTACTGAACCACTATCATGCCACCAGTGACTACAGTACTCGACTTATAAACTGTATATACTGTGTACCCATGACTTATACAATAGGAGTTAGCAGAGGTACACCAAGAACCATGAGTCCTATCCCATGTGGAAAGGTACTGTTGGAGCAGTTTGTCATACATATATAACTCCTAGGTGATGAGGCTGGGGCAGTGAACAAACATGACAAACAGTGTGTCCCCCCCAACCTGCTCCGACCGCGAGATGGGACTTCCAGGCAGGGTTCCCCTATGTGTTTCCCCATCTCTTGAGTCGCTGGGGCATGTCCACCATCCCAATACACATGATGGACTTTGCAAGTCCGAACTCATCGGACCACCAAAGTCCTAACGCATCTGTACCAAGGATAATAGTAGAGAACTGCATTTACCTTTGCAGTGTTGGATAGTGCTGGCCATTCCTTCCTTGGTAGTAAAAAATCCATCAGTTGCATGACTCTGCTGAGAATTGAGAAGGATGACTCCAGGATGATATCCAAACAAGTGTTTGTTCTTGGGCCCTGGCCTTCTCACAGTTCCCCTTGAAGTTTGAAGTAATGTAGATAAATTTGTATTTATATCAATGCAATTGAAGGGCTGCACATATATGCTTGTTTTCCGGAATACCATATATATACATATACTGCTATATTTACAGTATATACACATGTCTTTGCAGGTGGTAGGTTGGAGGTTTTTGTAGCACTCAGGCACATCATTAAGTGAAGGTCTAGGGCAGTACAGCCTCTCTTCAGAGATTGATTGGTTGGTTGGTACTTACAGTAGTCTCGAATCATCTCAAAGAGGGTTTGGGATGTTTGCGGTCAAGGGTTTCTTTGCTGCCTTTTGTCCTCTTTGGCAGGCCCTAGCTTGCTGGGAGGTGCAAAAACGGGAGCAGGATTTCAGGGTTTTGAGGGCCGAATTCAACATTGTGCAATCATTTGCAGCAGAGATGTTCATGTTGTAAAGTTGTACATCAACTGTTATAAATATTGTATGATGTTAAATTATTGGTCCGTTGTGGGCAATTCTACCCAGCAGTCCGATGTGGTGGTCAGTGGTTTACAATGGTTTGGTCTATCTAGAGGGGGGATGAGGCTGGGATGAGGCTTGCGATTCGGAGGCTCTCACCTTACGCGCAAATGCAGCGTCCGTGGCTTGAGGCTTGGGGCGCGTGGATGTTGTCATTTTTGCCGAACAGCAGCCGCTGTCGCCCAAGCTTCTATCTCAGCCTCGTGCTTCACCTTTGTGGCAATTGGCCATGGGCGAGGACGAGCCAGAAGCAAAGCGGAGGAAGGCGGGATCATGAGAAAGGGGGTTATGCACAGAAGGGCTTGCACACTCCCTGGTATGATCATGGAAGTGGATGGCATGGTCCCTTGGATAACTGTTTTCTTCTACAAACAGTTGGTGAGCTCCACTTCCATGTTCATCAGTCGGAGTGTAAGTCTTTTTGGATCTTTTTGGAGGTTTGGGGCATTTTAGGGAGTAGAGTTGACATCCCGAAATATCGATCCTTCATCCTTGGACTTCTTTTTCAAGATTTGAAGAAGACGAAGACGAGTTGTTTTCCCTCTCGTTGCGGCTCGGCTCAACTGGTAGGCCCTCACGAGGCTCAACTCACAGGCACGTTTCGTTGGGTGGGTTGAGCATGGCCACAGGGCGACCATGATTGACTTCATTCATCCGAGAGGCGACTATGGAGGCTTGCCATTTTTGGGACAACGGAGGCGGTTTAGGCACGCCAGAATGCACCATACCTATCCATAGATGCTGGACAACTATTGCAGCTGCTGCGTAAGCAAGAGGAGTTGTGAAAAGGACATAAAAGGACTATTTTATGGTGATCACGAGCATGTAGCGGCTATTGATGTGGATTTTTGAAGTGGGGAGGTCCACTTGGTGGGCTGTGGGCTTCTTAGAGTCCAGAGCACGCACGAAAGCGACTATTCCGCATGTGTTTGGTTAAGTGCACATGCGGCTGGACATGTCATCCTGTCCCTGCAACTGCTTAGTTACTGAAACAGAAACACGGATGATATATATATATATTCATATATGTGTTTTGACTTTGGCGGAAACAGGCTGAAACACTTTTTGTTTCGGATGTTTGAGGTTTTTTTTGGGGTTTTCAGGGTAGCCTCCAATCTACGACGTGAAGCGAATTGGAATGCCGACCTGGAGAAATCGGATGCACAGTGAGGCATGCATTGGCCAGAAGAAGTCCGTCTACGAAGGAACCAATGCAGTGCCCAGGCAGGGGACCTTTGATTTTTTCGGCGAGGCACTAATTTTGTGTATCGTTGATCTGGATTGTCGCCACAGTTTGTTTGTTTCATTTGCAAGCTCTGAAACAAGAAACCAAAGAGTTCGGCCAAATGCATTTTTGATTCTTGAGCAGCCCTGACCAAGAAAAAACATGAAAAAGCAAGGACAACACACAAACACAAACAAACAAAATCATGTTTGGCTTTGTTGCTCCTAGGTCCTTGCCTTTTCGACAGGAAAATAATCATCATTGTTTGTAGCCTAGGGTAAACTAGGTAGAGGCTGTTGAAGAGCATTTAAACCAAGTTAGCCCAGATAGTCCTGATTCTGATTTCTGTGCTCTACAGTCATTCTTGGTAGCCTTGTGCTGCAAATTCCACCAATTCCAGGATTTTTTTGAAAAGCAATTGCAAGCACAATGCGCTCAAGAATCTGACGTGCTATTGAATGGAAACCAATAGACATACTGTAATAGACTCAACAGACCCGACTAATACCTAAGATTTCGACTGCAGATACTCTTCAATGCATGAGGCTGTGAGGTGGAGGACCGGGACAGAGAATGACAGCCTTCACTTTGGCACTTGACATGTTTTTAACTTGTACTTGCTCAATGCATTGTTGTTTGTTCTACCAGTTGCATTTATATGATGTTATGTTGACACCTCTTCGAAGCTCTACATCCATGACCGTCAGGCCATCCTATAGGCCGTCCTACGAGACCGTGTGTCGTGTGCTCTCCAGCGAAACGACAGGTCCGGAGATCCTGGTCGTGTCCTCCACTTGGGCCTCACGGACGGGGATGCTTGGAAGATGTGGACGATGGAGCGCGAACCGCCGGGCGTTTGGGACTTCCGTCTCCATGGGCGGTAAAACCTTTGGGCGTGTGGTTTTGACCTGCAAAAACCGCGGTGTCTCCAGCAATCTTGACTGGAACATTTGTGTCGACTGGGTGGAAGGACGTCGGGTGTGTTTTCCGCGTCCCGTACGATCGGTCGTGAGCGATTCGTGAACTGGTGAGCGATTTGTGATGGTGAGCAGTTCCCCTTAATTACTCTGGTTCTCCAGAACTTGGCAGCTTTGGAGCCAAATGCATCCAAATGCAAAAGACCGGAGATAATAGAGGCAAAGGACCGCAAGCGAGCCTAGTAGGCAGCCGGTCACTTGGTTCCAGTTTCCTGCCATTTCCCAGCAATTCGGGAATATTTTTTAAAAACAGGTTGACCCGGAAGCAAACCCAAGTCCGATTCATATAAAATCAATCCCCACCTCATTCCTGCCAAACTTCTGCCCACATTCCAAGGAGCTGGCCAACCGAGTGATCGTGGTGGGTGACCCTGCCGCCGTTAACATGATTCCAAGAGAAGCCACCCACGACGCGACCACAGTTCTTTTCATGCCGAGTATTTGTGTGCAATCTTAGTGAGATTGGAAGAGGATCAGATGTGTTTCTGTGATCTTTGTTTGTTTGCTGTTTTGTCATATCATGCACTTGGCATGTAGTCTTGCAGGAAGGCAGATTTGGAACCAGGTTGGTCGGTCATCGGAGGGCGGCTCTTCATGACCAGCCCGCCATCAACCATAAGCCGTTTACTTTTTGGTGTGGAGCAAGTGGAGCCCGAGGTCCAAAGGAGGCCTCCTTTCTTTCGTTTTGATCTAATCACCCCAATCCGAGCCTTTTGCCTTTTTCCCAGAAAAGAGCGAGGCTCCAGCAGGAAAGACGAAAGGGAAAGAACTTGGACATGGGAGACCAGAAAGAAAGGCATGGGAGACAGGTTTGAAGCTCCAGGACTCCAGGGAATCAGATCCACGTGAGCCCAAGCGAAGCCGTTTCGGCATTGTAGCGCGTTGTGGATGGTTGTGGTGTTTCTTGGCGGTTTCGCTTGGCCAGGGCACCACACGCGAGCGGATTTGCTGAGCGGATTCTTGGAAGCTGAGGTGGCACCGGGGGGCTTGGGAAGTGAACATAGATGAACACTTGGATCATGCTAGTCCGCAATGTGAGGATTGAAGACGAGATGGCTTTCTAGATCATAGATCATGTGGTTGATCAATGTGATTTGCTTTGGTATGCTTTGGTGGCTGCTTCTCCAGGACTCGGGCTCTGTCTTCAAGCTCGCTTCAGACCGCGGCTTCTTAACCTACACGGGCCAGTTCGCCGGAGAAAGGCGATGTCTCTATCGGACCATGGTTCGGACCTTTCGGCCCGAAAGGGACGATGTCTCCCACTCTTCTCGCGACTCGTTGTCACACGTACTGTATGTGTTGAATCGTTTTTGGACTTGTTGATGGTTATTTTAATCCTAAACGATACCAGCTCTCCTAGAGAAAAAAAACAACATGCTTCTGTACCTTCGGGTCCGCTAGCTCGCGCTCACCCAACTCACGAGCACGAGCACTGGCAGGCTCTCGGTGGTGTCCATTGGAATGGGTTTGGCGATGATGGCGGCTCAACTGGGGAAGAGGGCGGAAACTTTGGTGATGCCATGGATAGAGTTTGACAAAGCCTTCTTCAGATCAGATGATTGGTGCTGATCCTGTGATCGTTTCTCGGGGTAATTATCATCCATCCAAGTATGCTTGGGTGCGCCATGTTCAGCTACAGTACCTCTTTTGTAATATCAAAAGTGAAGACGCCCCCAAACCCCGCAAATTGGCTTCACACAAGATGATAGTTCATGATAGTTCGACTATTAGTAGGCCAATTTCTAACCATGTCTCTTATGCGTTTAGTCTTCTCTCCAGTGTTCGCCTTTTTTCCTCCCTGCTGAGCACCTCGATTGTTTAGGACTTTTTTCTCCGCGAAGCGCGAGCAGTGGTGAAGGGTCCCATGGCTGTGGTGCGCCTGGGCACCTGTGGATGCCTTCAGGAACATGTGCCGCTCGCTACGCATCGCTCACCCGGAGGGGTTTAGTCGGAGGGGTCACCCGGCCTGTGGTAGACAGCGTGAAAGGCAACCATACAGGAAGATGTGAGGCAAAAAATATTTGGGACTCATCAGTAATAGGTCTTTTTGGGCCCAAAGGCACGCTTTTTGTGGATCTTTGGTGAAAGAACCGCCAGCCACGAACACAAGTTCGTTGGTATATCCCGTGCCAACTCCTAGTCAAATGACTTTGACTTGGCCACTCAGCATTCTGAACACAAAGACATCAAAAGAAGGCATGAGACATTTGTTTTTTTCCTCTCAAGACTTTGCAAGCTTGTGCGCGAGTTGTGCATATTCAAGAAGCCTGGCAGTTTTCCCAAGGAAGGTGGGCAATGTCAGTGTGGCAGATGGATCTGCACTGGTTCAAAGGAACTACAGCGGCTTGACTGTGCAGCCGCTGCTGCACTGGGATAATAAGTGTCCAACAGTAGGGCTCGAAAAAGGGACTGCTCCTGCAATTGACTATGATATACTATGATATTGATTCCAAACTTGTATTTGTTTTAGAGAGGCTGTTTCAGAGAGGCTAGAGAGACTATTCCTCCATCTCAGCGTGTTGGATCACAAGACTGACTAGCCACTAAGACGTAAAGAGGTTCCGCTCTCAGGTCACTTCGACAGCCAAAGCCCAGCACATGCACCTTGGCCCAGCTCATGCGGCATGGGAGTGGTGTGTTTTTCTTCCTGGGACGGCGCTACGCAAATATCCATGGACTACTGCCACATGTTTGAGGAATCCATCGCTTAAAGCGCAAAAGCATCGCTACACGGACACGCATCCGATGTGAGTTGTTGCGGGGAGTCTTTCTGCAGTGCACCACGCCAATACACAGCTACCGATGTAACTAGAGGACAGGCAGATACGGCTCAGCACAGACAATGTACATTTAGCATCATTTAGCCACGGTTGTGCGGTTTGCTGACTTCAGTGTTGTGCCTTGTTGCAGCTGTTTGAAGCGGAAGCCTGCAGCCAGCCCTCAACTGAGCCTCCGTCATGTCGTGCCAGTGTTGCTGCGGGTCTTGCGTGGAGATGCTTGGGCAACAAATTACTGTATATATATATATATATAGAGGCTTTGTCCTATTACCTGTGACAGTCAGTAAACAATTGTCATCATTTTTGAACAAGGCCTTTACTAACCATCATCATCCACTGTTACAGGTAATAGGATAGACCCAACATATATATATATACTATAGAATATATATGTATATACTATAACATATATATATATATTAGTGTAGTAGTATATACACTCCTCTAATTGCTCATGGAAGTGGACAACGACCTGTTTGTAGAGGAAACTGGTCATCCAAGGGGCCATGGCCATGGCATCCACTTCTATGAACATGTCGGGGAGCGTAAGGTGCCTGGGAAGTGGAACTGGCCAACCACGTGGGAAGTGGTGCCAGCATGCCGCCGAGGACCGGATCGGTCGGTGTCATTCAGAAGTTCGGAGAGTTTCAAGGACTGCAAGAGCCTGGATGCACTTGCCACTCGTTGATTGCAATCAAACTGTGGCGAGCTGGGTTCTTCTCTCTAAGGAATTTCTTGATGTATCTAAGGCTGAATGGGCATGAGCAAACTTTGGTTTCTGTACCATCGTATCAGTATGTTGCTGTATTTGCATGGTTGAGGAGAGATTATATGTGCGAATGGAAGTGCAGCGACATGTACAGTGCAACATGTACATATATATATGTACCATATGTACTTTGGCTCAAGGATCAAGCGACTAGAAAAGGTG